AAAGACCAAAACCATTGCGGTTGCAATCCACACAGTATTGTTCAATTCGACGGGGCTTGATTTTGGTATGTCAAATAAAACAGAACCCTGACCATTCATGTCGTTTGCTGTTCGCCTTTTGCTCAGCGCCCCCTCAGGGGCACTTATTCAAATGAGTGCTCCGAAAATGTCGATCAGAGTGCCGGAGTCATTCATTTACTCTTAAAGTGTTCAGTGTTTGAAATTCCCCACCACTTCACATTGTTTCCACATCCACAATTGATTCTTCGAAGCACAGACTGGATGAATTGTTGTGAAGTCCTAAACCTCGATATCCCTAGCAGCGCACAAAACAAGGAACACTCCTTATCTTTCCGTGAACCCTAAATCGATCCGTTTGTGTTGAAACCACTATGGGACAGGAAAAGCAACCGCCTGTGAATATTTCCCAAAATAAAACGTTAACCTGTTCCGTTTCTTGGTTAATCACAAGACAATTTTCAAACAACTTGAGGAAAGACTCTCACATTAGACCTTTTTTGTACTGCAGCATTGAATTTATTTCTGGTTGTCTTATTACATGGTATTCACATGTGTGTATTAACCTTTTGAGTGCATAAATGTTTTTTGTCTTATCCACAAAAAATATTTAAAATTGGACAAATACGAAGATCACTAATCAAAGTGTCCTTCTGTCTATGCGAAATGTTGACCAGTGACCAGGAATTTCAAAATGCGATAAATCTGTTCCGTTGAAATATTAGTAATGCAATATGGTGGAAGCAATCACTTTCGAATATTTCAATCACCTTACGGAAATCAAATAGTATGGGGAGATCAGCGCATCATTTTGGATATCTATGAACAAACGGTCCCGTAAATCTATATTCATTCCATGACTTTTCCTTTTCTTTTTAATTTTACTTCTTTTGTATTGAATACACAATGATACAATTTTCAGGAAGGGGAAGCGGCCAATCAAAGGGTTGCCATGGGGAAAGTCAGGCGGTGCTGGTATGGTTCGAACACACATCCTCCGAAGTGATAATTTGGTGACGTTACCACCGGGTCACTACCGCCCGTAATCTATCCATCATCTTTGAATTTTCTCTTCCGCGTATTTTTCCCATTTAAAACAACCATCGTACATTTCAACCGACCACATTCAGAACAACTTTCATTGATCGGTCGCTCTTCAGCTAACATTTCGACAAGGGTTTAACCGCTGCTCGTACTCGATTCCGTCACGTGTTTCCCTCAACGTGATTATATTTCTTTATGGGCAATTAATGCCACATTCCGTCTGAATGGCGAAGCCCTACAAAGCATTTCGCGTGCGGTTTATGCGAGATGTTGGTCGAGAGTAGAGCAGCCATCCATGAAACTAGAGCATGTTAGCATATCACAATGAATACAGTGTCTAGCTTGCTGATCCCATAAACCAACTGAAGAATGTACAACCTTTGGAGAAACGAAGACAAATGATACGTTCTATGGGTTTCTTCATCTGTTTTCAGCCAATGTTCACACTCCCTATCACATTGGTCTTTTGTCCAATTATAAGCGAACAAATTGCAATACAGATTTATGTCTGAATAAGGCTTGTGGTAATACACAGGCTTGATCGAACTCGTGCAACATGACTCTCAATTTGAAAAATGCTTTCAACTTGTCAGTATTATATGTGTATATCGAAAGCTATTAGTGGAGAATATCTACTTCGAACTTTAGCTCCCAGTTCCGTGTTCTTGGTTCTCCTGTATTTTGTGTGATCTCGAGTGTCCCGATAGAATTTGAAGTAGATCGAAAATGACAGCTCAGAATTAAAAAATATTTTACTCCAAGCAGCATGGAACTTCATTCTTTCTAATGAATGATTGCTATTTCACGAGGGTGTTTATTTTGGTCAACAAAAGTGTTGTAACTCATTTCGCTACTCGGTCAAAGGTAACTAAGTCGATTAAGCAGAATTTTTGAGCTTAAATTTGTAGCAACAACCGTTGTCGAAATCGAGAAATCGTACACTGTGATGGGGTCCGAATAATAGAAGCAAAAACATAAGTGAATATTATTACGGTTATGTTGCGCCTGATGCGGAGCAATATCATACGCAATCCCGAGAATAAGGCTCGGAACATTAAGCGTTGAGAGAAACGTCGGGTTGTTATCTGAGTTTGATCCATAACTGTGTGATATGAATATTCAGGACAGGAGAAATTAATCGATATATTCGTATAATGTACAACGGAAGCATTTTTTACCCGACAAAATTTGGTGAGCTGTAAAATGCTCATCTCGTAGATTACTTAATAAAGATTTGTAGCTTTGAGACACGAATGAGGGGACTGATACTATCTATTGAAATCGAAATGTTAAACATGGTTATAAATCGAATGCTCCGACTACACTTTTTCCCATCAAGCTTTAGCCAAAACCCGTAGTCCTTTAGCCTCAACGCACAGAATTTAGCCACGACGCAGTAGGCGAGTTAGATAAAAAAAGTATCGGAATATTCTGATGTCAACTAATGTTGAAAAAATTATTTTCTGTAAATTTTGATGCTGCAAAGTTTGGTTAAGAAATTGGGCGTGAGGGTTGCACACTGCAATACACGTGGATTGGAGAAGGTTTAAACGATGTGCCCGTATCATCAAATCATTCGATACATCTTGTACAGCTTCAGTGTCTCTGTATAACATGCGATACTCCTAGGAGTAAAAATCCCAAGTGTAAGTCAAATGATACATTGTTTTGCATACGTGCTGAGATAATAAAGCGTTCGTAAAAGTACACCCTAATGTCATCAATTTATCAATGGTGCAACGTATGTCATAAATACCGCGGTTGAAGCTTAATTATTACGGGTTTTTGTCTGTAGCTTCCTGAGAAACGGTGTTCTAGAGGGGTATGTGTGAGCAGTGTTTATTATCCTCGACCCTTTAATATATCCATCTGTCAAAAACAGAGTTCACTTTAAGTGGATATACGAAATGATAAGGATGTAGGTTTCATTTATTTCAGGGCTTGTGAATGCAAAACAATATATTGCTGCACTTGAGATTTTTACTCCTAGGAGTATCGCATGTTATACAGAGACACTGCAGCTGTACAAGATGTATCGAATGATTTGATGATACGGGCACATCGTTTAAACCTTCTCCAATCCACGTGTATTGCAGTGTGCAACCCTCACGCCCAATTTCTTAACCAAACTTTGCAGCATCAAAATTTACAGAAAATAATTTTTTCAACATTAGTTGACATCAGAATATTCCGATACTTTTTTTATCTAACTCGCCTACTGCGTCGTGGCTAAATTCTGTGCGTTGAGGCTAAAGGACTACGGGTTTTGGCTAAAGGATTAGGGGTTGAGGCTGGAGGATTGCGGGTTTTGGCTAAAGCTTGATGGGAAAAGGTGTAGTGGCTGTCTGACATGTATGATAAAGTGACCACTTTTTCAATTCAATAAAATCTGGTTCAATATTTTTTAACTTACACAGTGAGTTATAATACCACGTGACCATGTTACACATCTTGGCTTGTTATTCTTTTCAGTGAAACATATTCATTGGGATGGACCCGAGAACTCTGAGTGCGCCATATAATCACGAGACTACCTGGACAGGTGCAATCCGTTGAGTTCACGTCAACTCTACATGATTTAGTGCCCATTCGTCTTCGTCGTTAAGCCCTACCACTCCGACGGAGATCGATTCCCCGACGCATGATGTCTAATTAATTGTTAACTTGCTTGAGCACGTTGTTTGATTCAACTGATTACAAGGATACCTAATTGTTAGACTGTGATTTATCTTAAAAGTGCAAAGATTTGAAAGCACGGTAGGTTTGTTCTTCGGCTGGGAATCCATGACATCCGTGCATGCCTAAAAAGCTGGCCACGACGCAAGCCTGAATTCACATTATGATTAGAAATATAATCAAAATACATTCGTTGGATCAATAGGGATCTAACCGGATGCACGAAACGTCACAGATCCATTGTGCCACTCAGATGGACAACCCAATATGATCCAGGGCGTCTTTTCAAAGTAGAAAATTACATCAGAGAGTAATCGTCCACCCGTGCTATTAAATGTACGGGTGATCAGTGGACAGCACTCAACTTGCCAATGCATAAGTTCCAAGCTGGTTTACCACCAAGACTGAATGAACACGCGTTTCAAAAATCAGCCTCCATGTGTCACGAAACATATCAAATTTATCAATTAAGAGTAATCGTCTCACTGCAAATCGCAACTTCTCTGATGAGTTTAGATTGCCCTAGTGCTTTGGAGTTCGAACTCAAGTGGTTTCGGTGAATCCACATTAGTGACGAGTCTTAGCAACAGAGAAATAGTGTTCTGTTGTGGTTCATTAGTAATTAGCATGTTGCATCTTCTCTAACACAAATCACAAACAAGTCACATAGGACAAAGTAATGCGCATTTTTTGTTGACTATCATCAATGAGATTGACGGATGAAAAATACTGAGGGTAGCCATCAAGATCGAAATAGCTGTGCGGTTCACCTCAATTATCAAATTCAAATTTGATTTATCTCTGAATATGAAGAAATTGCATCTGCAATTACATTAGATCATCCAATAAACCAATCTATACTGTAGGATTACCGTTCAGGTTTTCAGTTCTTTATATTAAATCAGAGACTCAATGAATAGAGAAGCACTCATTCAAATCTTGGAGAAGTTCAACAGTGGTGATATGGGCATGTCTATCTGTTGAGAGTCTTGATCGATTAATCACCGAAAGTCTATTTATCTTAAAAGTGCATTCAACCACAATTACTTCAATCGAGTACTGTGCTTTCCCGCCCACCCTATCCCCGGCTATGCATTTTCTGAATATCCAATTTTCAACCTTTGACCAATATGATTTCGCCTTTTGTTCAGCTTCATCAGAGATATTTGTATTGGTTTTCAGAAACAAATACCTGAAAAACATCTACTGGGTCAGATCTCAAACAATCCAAGCAGACCACATCATCAGAGCGTCCAGTTTGCATGGATCAAACAGATATATTGGATTCACAAACTAACGGTGATGAGGATTACCGGAAAGATAGTACCATTCAACCACCCTCGTATGAATCCGCCACTTACGAACCCACAACAGGCGACGACCATGGCGGGGACGATTCAAAAGAACCTAATCAAAATACACACGACTCGGAAATGTTGGTAAATGTTGACTCGAAAGGTGTCAGCGGTGACGAAATCACGTACGAGATATCTGCTGATGAACCAAAATCATGGAATCTGGATGAAACAGGTCCAGACAACAAACCGCGATGGCGTAGACGCACGCAAGAAGAATTGGATGTCTCGTTCGAAGCTAATACATTTCCTAATCCCACTACACAATTGTCACCAACACAAGACACATCAGAACTACTGTACGATGATGAGCCCTTGCTCCCACCAGTTCCACCCCAAACACCTCAAATTGACGACTTAGAGGGGTTGACAGCTGAACACGGTCCTTTTCACATTGTATACGGTCCGGAACAGCCTATCAGGCCCGTGGATCAACTTGAATGGCCAAAAGAAAAAACAGTACTTGTGACAACTTACAAAAATGACTATCCACCCCGACTAAATAACCGGCGACAGGACCCAATTTTGCCCAAATCGTCACTTTCTAATCCAAAACACGCGGAACCATTACAGACAACTTATAAAACCGATTATATTAGTCGACCGATTGAACGTCTCGAACCTATTCTGCCTAAACCCTTGTTAGGACAGTCCATGGAACCCATGCAAGAAATCACGTCTTACCGGCTAGACTTTCCCCCACGTGTAGGTCAAAAGCGTGATGGTATAAAACCACCACAAAATCTGGCAATTTCTTCGGATCCAATGGAACGATACACCTCTCACATGATTGAATATCCGCCGCGTGATTTTATTCCAAGAAGTAAACCCTTTCGACCGACATGTCAACCAAGTTTTCTTGCCGGAGTTAGTACGGGAATAAGCGCCTACCGGGAAGAATTCATCACCCCCGATTTAATGCCGTTTCATAGCTGGAAGCCGAACTGCAAATACATTCCTCCAACGTTACCAATGGAATCCCAAACTGTTTATCGTACCGCTTTCGGTTCCATGAATCCCATAGCAACGGAGAATTTTGCCCCAAAATGCATCTATCAGCCACCCACAGAACCGATTTCCGATAGAACCAGTTATCGGATTGATTTTTCACCTCCACCTCCAGTACAAACCATCAGTTTCAAACCTCGTCTCGTTTACCGTCGTTCAGAGGACAAAATAAACCAATCAACCACTTACAATACGGACTATGTTCCGAAATTCACTGATCCAGTACAACCCG